AAGATACTTAAGAGTCGTGATGTCTTCTATTAATAGTTATCAATATTTTTAAATATAGTTATAATATTAAAAACACAAAAGGACAATAAAAGAAAAAAAAAAGAATTTGGTCGTATGGTACTAAGAAGAGGCATAATGCGATTTCTTTACAATCCATGGTTACTTACTTAAAATTATTTATAATGAACAACGCGTAGCACTCTGCAACTACATGTTTTATTTTATCAGATTCTGATAAAATCGAACCCACTACCACAGTATTTTTATTTTCACGCAAAAAATCAATATACATAATTTATCAAAAATTTAAGCGATATTAATAATTGAAGAGTTTATAATGCGATAATCGAGCCTGCTACATCTAATATAAAGTAGGGCAAGCGTTCGGCGTCGGACACGCACGCGCTCGCCCGCGGGACCAATTAGCCGCACAATTCTTAACACGAACTTTGTAATTTTTAATTTCTCAGTTTGTAACATTAATGCAGTAATAAAAAAGTTGTAAGTAAGGTGATAGATAGTAACTATAGTTTATTCATTTTTTTTTTCAAATGTGAAATAAAAGTGAAAATTCTTAGAAAAATTCAGTAGGTACTTAGTAAAAAATATATTATATATGTATATATTTTTTAAGAATATTTTGGAATTTTTCATTATAATATAATCTATCTTTAATCTACCTATATTCTACTAATTTGACACTGATTAATCATTAAAATTCAGAAAATATAAATAGGTACTCGAAGGTAGATTTTTTATTGGGAATTTTATTTATTTTTTATTTATTTTTATGCTAAAAAAGATTTTTGAAAATTCACCCCCTAAATGGGTAAAAATGGAATTGTATGATTGTATAAAAATGCATTTCTTAAAGTTATATTGACCAATATTGATAATTATTTTTTTCTCTTTTTTACTTTAATTCAAAGTTTTACGATGTACCTACATCCTCTAGGGATGAATAATAGTGGATAACATGAACCTTAGAAGCGGTGAAATTAATCACAAATAAATTATGCAAGTAGAATTGCAGAGAAATGCTAGTATAAATAAAAGCACAACTTATATTATGAACAGTAATTTAAAGATGAGACCAACAAATGAAAGATTGATTTAATAAAAATTACAAATGACAAGAGGAAAGCTCAATAATGGCGAAACTTAATCAAGTGACAAAACGAAAAATAATTCCCCCAAAAAACATTAAGCATTAAAAGGCCTCAAACAGGCTCGTTTGCGAAACTCGATTTGCGGATATAATATTATATTACTGCGACGAAACAACACATGTTACTAGCAAAGTCAATTTGTCACTCGATTAAAACTCCTACAAGCGTGGAATAACTCAATTATACCCAATCCAATATAACAAACAGCACTCGAGACTATTCGATATTTAAATGAACCGCGGGCGACCAATCACGGCGCTCGGCAAATCTGACATCTGTCATATATGAGCGTCATTGTTAGTGTTTTGACGTTTCTTTTTCTTTTTTTTTTGTGTGACAGTTGGCGCGGGCGTATTCAGTTATTTTGTTTTATTGTGTCGTTTTATTCAATCGGACGTAAGGACGGAGGACCTGCTGCGTGTCTTTGTATGTAGGTTTGTATTAATGGACGACGCGGGTGTTTAAACTAACACGACCGCGACTATGCTTTCGATTTAAACTTGCATTTATTTATAATCTGCCTAAAAGTTTTCATTAATTTTAATGTAATTTCAGAAAAATATATCTATATTGATTGATTTTTAATTGATCCTATCAGTTGTTACGAGTATTGCGCTTAATATTTCTGAACTTGTTTTGTTTTATGTAAAAAAGTGATAAATGAACTTGAAATATCTATTATGAAATCGTTAAATTAAAGTCCGTGTTGTTCGAAACTTACTAACAAGAAGTCATAAAATTATGAGCGTTTTTATTTGTAGTACATTTTATTTAATGCTATTCATAATTCTTCAGAACAAGCGAAGTTCCCGACCATGCCGACCGTAGCCCACCACAATAAGGTCCACCCGACGTCGCCCGCCGACGTCGCGTGACGGCGGCACACTCGTTACCCTCTAACAAACGGAGACCAGTCGTTTCATGCTCGCGAGTGTAATTTTACTTTTATTAATTACCAAAACAGGCCTATTTGCCTTCGTTTGTCGAGTTATAATTAGATTTCCGAACTGCCGCCACATCGCTTTCATTTCATCGATGCGGGACTCTGACAGCCCGTAATAACTTTGGTTGTTTGTGATTTTTTATTAGTTTTCTGCGGTAATTGAATTATAATGGCTTAGCAAAACGACTATAACCAAAATTGCTTACCGACTGGATCGTGATTCGTTTACGTCTGAATAATTTATATAGGTACCTACACCAAATCATTCAAATTTAGTGCAATTTATATGTATGTAGAATACATCCACTATATCATCCATCTGTATATATACTACGTACCTATATAATATCTTCTCAATATATTCGTCATGGTGTAGTCAAAGAGAACATAATGTCTGCACCTCTTCGCTGGGAATGAACCTTCTTTTCTTATCATATGTCCTTTTTGATACAATAAAACTATTCTTAATCTTATATTTATTTCCTAAATAAAGATATTTTTTCCTACACACAGTTATTAACAAAATAATGGAATTATAATAAAAGCAGGGGCAACGGTGCGGTCCCGCCGCCCGGCACCATCCTTCATGTCACCGCTCATTAAGTCTTTAGCACTTTATTCACAGCTATCAATAACGACACGCGCTGCAATCGTTTGTAGAATCTTACAATCAACATTTCTAAAAACATTTTCTTTAATTTTCAATTTATTTTTTATATACTTTTTTGTAGGTATTCTATGATGCGTTTGAAATGAAACTACCGTGTAAAATTCATGTCATATAATCATTATGTCGGGCAAGTTTTTTTCTTCAAGATATAAATTAAAAAAATACCTAGTATTATTTCTTAAATTACTCATAGCTACATTTTTTCTGCTGTTACGTGAAAAAAAATATGTATTCAGCTCTTTTGAACGTCCCACTGCTGGGCACGGGCTTCCCTTCAATGCGAGGGGAATCAGGCCATAGTCCATCACGCTGGCCAAGTACAGGTAGCGGACTAAACATGTCTTTCGGAAACTTGCTAGGTTCGCTCAGACATGCAGATTTCCTCACGATGTTTTCCTTCACCGTAAGGCAAATGGTAATCATGTTAGAAATGATTCGCACATGAAAATATCAGAGGTACGCAGACCCGGGATTTGAACCCGCTTCACTTGGTTTCCCAAGCGAGCGTGTTACCACTGGGCTACCACGATAAAAAAACATAATATGAATTAGTAATCAATGCGCATATCACCTCAATAAAACTAACGTTATTATCTAATTTATCCAGCCGTCCGTCGTTGAGCTTTACACTCAAATGTCATTTATGGCGTGATCCGCGAAACCCATTTCGGTCGAATGTTTAACGAATTTAATACGTTTGACAGGAAAGCCATCAAGATCGCATGTCGCGACCTGTCTCTGTACTGGAATCGAACCCGTCACGCGACGCTCTACCACCGAACCGTTCACCCCCGAAATATATCATTTCACACTACTACTTGACGCCGTATTTATTATCATATATGCATAAGCGTTGCTTCGAATAAACTCTATTCTAAATACTATAAAGTTAAATTTCTCGCGAACAATAAATATTGAGGTAGAAGACCCTATGATGGCACATTCATATGATTGAGTTCGCGTTTCATGCTACACTGTATTCAAAGTTTTGTTATGTCTGGCCTCAAATCGTTTACTGACGTGTTTCCTCTCTGATTTATTGTCAAAGTGTTCTGGGGTTTATTGGTGGAAACGCGAACTTTGATACTATAATGGTATTATAGATGGCGCATCAATTACTTTCAACTCGGTGATAACTTGTCTTTCACATCGTTATAGTCGTCCCTCGAGCGCGTGGTGTCGGTGAACGAAAGTTTCACAGTTCGGAACATTTATAGCGTCATGCAAATGTCGTCCACATTATTATTGTGAGTTTCATTTTCTTTTCACCCGTGACATTGGCGAAGTAATCTGTGCTCAACTGGCGCGCTTTGAGGCCATTAACAAATAATTCATTCCTTTTATATTAGGGATAATAGTGATGATGATGTTCTCCTAGCCGATTCCGGCCACGGCGGCCAATCTCATTGAGACTAGCCAACTGCGCAGGAGATATTATAGTGCACAAGTGTACGCGCAGATACAAGTGCACTCTCTATTCCTGTCACTCTCATACTCCGGTGGGACGACTGCTAGACACGACCAGTGAGAGTTAAGGCGCAGGACCGACGGCTTTACGTGCTCTCCGAGGCACAGGGGTGAAGCACCGCCAACTTCCCAACTCCGGGCTGTTACTGAGACTTACTATCCAGAAAGACTCAATAGCTAAACATGGCCCGACCCGGGACTCGAACCCTCCGAGTGTGTAGCCGTACATGCTAGCCACTACACCACCGAGGCAGTTAGGAATAATAGTATCTGAAGCTTATAAAGTAGTAGTATGTACTATGAGGGTATATCAGTTTTAATTATTGAGTTGTCACCCTTTAACAAAATGTCTATCAAATAACTTATCAATAAATATTTCACTTTTTTTTTCTTATAAATATTTTTCTTATAAGGTTCTAAAAATATTATTGGTTTCTGGTTCCACATTTTTATCACTATAAAATAGTGTATGTACTCGTATGTAGTATAATAATTCTATGCTCGTTAGGTGTTTTCGGAATAAAAACTAACGTCCGTATAAAGTTAATATGAAAGTGTATATTATTTGCTCCTTCACGCTACAACAACTAGACGTATTTTAATGAAATTTAGTACACAGATATTCTTTAACTTGGAATGACACATAAGCTAATTATATATTAAGTACCTACCTAGAAACGTACCCAAGCGAAGCGAGCGTAAGTCACTAGTATCCTATATTCTTCACTTATTCAAAAGATTCTTGTTCCAGGTTTGGTTTCAAAATCGACGCGCAAAATGGCGCAGGCAAGAGAAGATGGAAGCGGCGAGACTTGGCTTATCAGAGTACGGCGCGCCTGTGCCGCGGCTGACGGGCCTGGGCCTGCCGGTCGACCCCTGGCTGGCCCCACCACTACTCACTGCTTTACCTGGTAAGAAAGAAAAAATATTCATTATATTATTTTCCCCTCTTTCAAAACTAAATAGGCTGTAACATAGACACACGATTATTTACGAGTAGATGTAAGGGTTTTGACATCAATTATAATAATGTACGCTAAAAATAAATAAAATCACCGATATTATTAATCTATATAATACATCTAATACTAATCAGTGTTAGGCGTATATTTCCTTTAAACTGTTGAAGTCTTAATTCTCTCTGAGCTTAAATTGCAAAAAAAAATTACTTGTATGTTTGTTTATTGTAACAGTTTAGGGAGAGTCAAAAAGTCTAAATCAAATCGTTTCTGAATAATAATAGCTAATTTTAGAATTTTACATACACCTTATCATTATTAATTCAATTTTTTTAAATAAAATTTTAAATAAATAACGAATAAATCCTATCTCATACTAATTTTTACACCAAACATTTATTAATACATACGTTTGCCTTTCCAGGGTTCCTGAGCCACCCGCCCTCGGGCTACCCGAGCTACCTGACGCCGCCCGCCACCGCCCCGCCCGCCCCGGCGCCGCCCGACCCCCGCTCTTCTTCCATAGCCGCCCTACGCCTAAAAGCCAAGGAACATGTAGAGAGCATCAGCAAAGGCCTCCAAATGGTCTAGTTGACTATACATCTTTGATCTTCGACTGACATTCCATATTAAACATGCTTGCCTAACTCTTGTGTATGACTTCAATATACAGTATACGAGTTAATAGTGAAATATATTTTTTTCTATTATTATTTCAGATTGCGGAAGTCATATCCAAGAGGTAGTAGCTTTATAGTCAGAGTCAGATTGACTTATATTTTCTTTTAAAGAGACATTAGAATAGACTAAGTAGAATAAAGCAATAATTGTACATATAAGTGTAAGTAATTTATATTTAAAATAGGGGTAATAACGTATTTATATCTTTGATGAATTCAGAAGTAGATATGTCCTGAGCAAGATGTTTGTGCTAATTAAATAGTTTGAAATAATTTTATTTTCAAATTATAACTAAATTAATGTCACATATTTTGCGTATATATTTTTAATAACTATTAACATAATTCTCTATATAAGATTAACATTATTTGAAAGGATATTGTAAATATTGTACTTGCTCTAAACTTCACACCGACGTCGCGTCGGTCTGTTCGATCTCCGATCAACAGTACTACTGTTGATCGAAGTGTTCGATTTTAAAATATGAATGCCTTGTTCATTTTTAAAGTTGTTCTTGATATATTCTTCGCGGGATATGATCCACGGTACTATCTAACTTAACCAGAAACAAAAATGTCGCATGATATTTTCTTCAAGCGAGAATCAAACCTGCGACCTCGAAAGGAGATATATTAAATAACGAAAAATAACCACGGTTTAATTGTATCTGACGAAGTGACCTCGTGTAAATGTCGAATGCGACACGATTACCAGTTATCCTTCTACCACTTAAAGAGTTGTAAGAAATGTAAAAGTTAAGAAACATGTACATAAAGTTGTGTAAATATACATTTCGTAATTTATTATAGAAATGCCATATTCTGAAGATTATTATAAGAAAAAAATATTATTTTTATGTATATTTTTGTGATTTTTCTGCTATAAGTATAAGAAATATAAACATAGATATTTCAGTTTCATGGCTATCCTCGATGTTTTTATGTTTTTTTTTTTTCATAAAACTCATTTTTAATATTTGAACAAAACTGCCTCTTCTAATGTATTTAAAATCCTAAATGTATTTTTAATATTTAGTAAGTATAATAGAATGAATTCGATAAAAAAGGTTCTAAGTTTCATACTTTCAAAAATCTTAACTGGTTAATCAATATCAATAATATCAAAGTGGTTTTACAGCAAGATAGAGGTACGATGTTAAGACTAACGTGCTAGAAGTATGAGAACAGTGTAAATATCTGGATGTGTAGCTTCTCTAGGCTAAGTGTAAGCAACCGTGTACACTACTTACGTAGGTAACGAGAGATTAATAAATGTGTTCTTTCTTAAAAAATCTTTCATTATTAGGGTTCCGTACCCGAGAGGGGCCAACGGAACCCTATAACAGTCCTCCACTATTCGTCCGTCCGTCCGTCCGTCCATCTGTCAGAGGGCTATATCTCTTGAACCGTAATACGTAGAGTTGAAATTTTTACACAGTGTGTATTTCTATTGCCGCTATAATAACAAATAATAGAAAACCAATATGGCAAATTTTAAAAAGGCTGCCATGAAAATAAAATTGAAAGGTAACTTATACAGCAGTGGTCTTTGTTTTGAAAAACAGCAAAGTTTGCAATTTACGAGCATAATATTTATTACTTAAAATTAATCTCTTAACCACAAAATATATTTTTATAAACATAGTAAATATAACTAGCAAGGTTCCTACAGAGTGATAATTAATTACATATATTTAAAATCACGAGTATCCGCTTAAAGTAAAAATTTTAATTTTCAGTCACAAATTATGAAATAAAACAGTTAATTTTATCATTTAATATATTAAAATACCAATAAAACTAAAAGGAATTTTTATGACTCAAGGCGTTCACGCCAGTAGCGTCCCACATCGAAGAGCCTTAAGTTATAAATTCAAAGATATTTTCTTTTATGTCTACCTTGTATATATTTTATGTAACAAGATTTTTTATGTTGTTTAAAGTTGAGTCTCTTTGCTTTTAGTATATAAAAACTTTTAGAAGAAATTTCTTCTTTGCCACTACGTATTTACCCACATTTATCTATCAATATCAATTCATAAAATAAATAGTAATATTATTAGTAAGTAACTCAGCTGGTGATTTACCTTGTATTTTAAGCTGCTGAATAGATTTCGATGAAGTTTGTTAAGGACGTAGGTTGAATTATGAGTATAAATATTTGTTATTTTTATTGTGTATTTTTTTATGTATTATAATGAAAATATAAAATGTTTGCAAACTCACAGACGATTAGCGTCCATTAACATGTAATTGCCAACCCCTCTATCCCTTTTTCGAGGGGCCCTTTCCTCTTGACCCTCTTGTCAGACTCCTTACACAAACAAATATTAATAATTGAATAAAAACATATTTTCAAAGTGATTCGTAGGAATATTTTGTGCGCTTTTCTTGAATTAAATTTATAGTGTTTGATTTTATTTGAAATTTTTATATATATATATTTCATATGTTCTAAAATAAACCGATACAAGTGGTCCATCAGTTAGTCTACATGCTGTATGTACAGAATACAGTATTTACTATATACATTGTACAGTAAGTAATACAAAGATTTGGTTTACGCTTGTTTACTTTTAAAATTACAATACATTCACTTAAAAACTTATCGCGAAGTAAAATTACAGCGTCGATTAGGAATTTCGAAATAGCTTTCCCATAATAAGTTCACATGATTATTTGCATAATAAAAAGCCATTTAACCTACTATAAAAATGCTAGGATTTGTCTTTTTCTGTATATTGTCTTTATTGTCCGGACTAAATGGATAATAAGATTATACGAATATGAAGAAATGATCGAGGAGTGTATCGGGGCTGTTGAGACGAAAAGTTCGCGATAAAAAAATAAGACAAAGTTTAGATTGCCTAGAAAATGCCTGTTCACTCTTGCCTTGAAGATACTTAAATTATAGGTGGCAGGAAACACGGATGCTGGAAAGGTTTCATGAGGAAAGGCCTCATGCAGAGCTTTTCGTACAATTGATAAAGCCCTTAGCATTTTTAAGATATTAAATTAAAGAAAATTTGATATTGACTGTTGCATCTCAGTTCTCAATAATCGTATGAAAAAATTACAGTACTCATATGTGTGATCAAAAATTGTTGTATAGTAATTCTTTTTATGAACTAGAAGAGTCGTTCAACTGAATTTACAAACAACCATACCAGTAGCTTATTTTAGCAAATATTCATAAATTACTATAGCCTGTATCTTCGTGCCTCTTTCTATTGGTAACATCCATAGGAAAATTCGTTCAGCAATTTTATAGTATCATAATTTCTGAGATAAGCCCAAAAACACAAACTCGCGGCTTCAATTTATAACTAACCGACTTCCAAAAAGGAGGAGGTTCTCAATTCGTCGGTTTTTAAGTATGTTCACCGATTATTCGAAGACGCCTGAACTAATTTGGAATTTTCTTTTTTTGTTTCAAAGTATATACTTTCCAGGTGGTCCCATATAAATTTTATCGAAATCGGTCGAGCGGTTTTTTGAAGAGTCAACAATTAATTATTTTTTAAATAAATTCTTTAATCGAATATGTAATTAAAAAAAGCTTTCTTCTTACAAATTACCTGCTTATTACGTCTACACTAAAAATGGAAATATAAAAACTTTATGAATATCTAATAGATAAATGTGTATTTTACGTATCGAAATATATATATTAGTTTTTTTTAAGTTTTATTTATACTAACATTTTAGTTTTTTTTTTTGGGTAATATATATGGAGGCTCGGAGAAAAGAAGGAGAATAGCTTAACCAACTTTATCAGGGCACTGTTGTTGCAAAGATAAAACTAAACTATGGATATTGGATCTTATTTAACGAATCATTCATATAACTTCCGATTAATATGATCATAACAAATCCTTTAAGATAAAATTAATTTGCTATATATTATACATATGTGAACTTTTATTTAAGTTTCAACCCAGTGTAGTTTTGTCCCGCACTACGCTACACCACATCAGTCACCGCTATCTCCCATCGTAGTAATTGTAATGCTGGCTTTCTACATTTATTAATATTTACATGTCAAGCCCGCTGGGGTCGATCGCCGATAAATGTAACTGGTTCGGTATGTTCGTGCTTGTCTATCTACAAATTTATTAATATTTATTACATCTTCTGCTTATAGCCGAGGTAAGGGTAAAAAGTAACTTATAGAAAAGAAACTTTTTTGGTTTTTGGTTTTTAAGTAATAAATAATTATCAGCAGCAGCCCTGAGTAAGACAATTGGAGGATGAAGCATTTAAAGTCATTAATTTAACATATTATCTCTTCAGCAGCATAAAGTCATCACAATGTATGAGAGTGAGATAAGAGTACACTAATGCACTATATCACTTCATATATAAAAAAATTGTAAGTCCTTTAGATTCTTTTATTGAAGTATAATATGAGAACACTATATATTGTAAAGATATTTTTGTGGAACCCAAAAATATGAATAAATCTAACAAATGAAGGTGATTAGGAGCGAATATTTTAAAAGTGATTTGCATACAGCGCCGCTTAGTTTAACCGAATCAACGAATTAATGCGCGCTCTCGTAGTAATTGTAACTGATGTAGTGCAGGAACTGGCCGTTCATTGTAGGCTCACTTCTGCTCACAGTATGTCTACCTACGTTATAATAATGTTATTTTAAACAACACGATAAGAACATTTACGAAGTTATCGAAATGTTTCCGTTTTGTAATCTAATATCGTTTTATATTTTAACTCCATAATTATTCAAATAGGATTTTAAAAATGCATTTGGAACGTCAACGTAATAATAAAAGCATGAATATATGTGTTACAAAATTAACAAAAAAATAAAAACCGAATTCAAACAAAAGCACTAAAAAGTAAAAAATAACTGATTGGTAGTTTTCATTTACTATACATACCTAATC